TCAAAATGAATAATGCCCTTCCAATTCCACCATACACACAGTATCACCTTGTTACGAGTTGACCCGGGTTTAACCACAGTCTCTGAAGCCTAACCGACCTTTGACCACGACTTTTTCGCACGTCCTTGTCGAACGTGATCTACTTTAAATAACCAGTTATCAGCTTCTTCAAAAATGGTCTGGTTTCATTACGCCGTAATAAAGAATCACAAATGAGTAGGTACACGATTCATTAGGTTTCTTTTAGTGTGCTTGTGAGGTGCCTAAATAACTATTTTGAAAAGCCAGTTTTTTTTCAAATGCGCCAAAACTGTTTTATGGTCAACCCCCAGTACTTCGCCTACGTCGGCACTATTGATATGCCGAACTTTTTCAAAAATGCCATCCATTTTATTCGTAACAGGGTAACCGGAGCGGCAGCATCTTTGACATCAAAATTTCTGGACTCAAAACGTTTAAATCAAATTTTTCTATCACAGAAACGGCACTAGGCCCATAAACGTCACGAATTTTTTTTTTCTCAGATTGTATTTTGTAATTAGATATAGTTTTTATCTTATTTTTTTAATTTCGCGTTCAAAATGCTTTACTGAAAAATATTCTTGATAAAGAATGCTTAAAATATCCACTTGGTCCCTGGCATAGAGCATTCGTCAGGATTGCAAAAGGCCATGGGTCACCTAAATGTTTATCAGCTAGTTGCACAAACGTCCAATAAAATAGTCATTAGTTTAAAGTGTCATTACCAATACAAATTTGACATTCATTAGACTTGCATGACATCATTTAAACTTAATGGACGTTTGTGCAACTGACCGTAAGTGTGCTAATTATGTTTCCCTGCGACATCGCCTGCGTAAAATTTTCATTTTTCATGATCGTATAGGGGTATAGTTTGTAAGGGGTATCCGAATATTGCCCATACAAATAAACAAACAAAGATACCTATAAATTTATCTCTTTATAATATTACTATAGTTTTTTTACTAGGTAACATTCTTTAAGATAATTTGTCTGGTATGCTTGTGCATTTGTAATTTGCGTTAGGTTCAAAGAGTTCTTTTACTGTTCAAAAGTTTTTATTATGACGACGACGTCCGGTGCGGTGCGTCGTTGCCGTCGCAGCAACCCAAACAAAACACAAGAGCGGGGTGGCAACGTCGCCCGCGCGGTGAGTGAATCGATTCCTCTCCCGCCACGCCACGCGACACTCACACAGGTTCTCGCAATAGTGAAGTAGGTAATCCCGTTTAATTACGGTGTTTACCGATTTTTTGATTCAATAATAGAAGATTGGAGGTAATAAATTGTATAGATATGAATCTTGTATAGACATATCGGTGTATTCACAGGTAAACGTTCCTAGTATCAATCCAAGCCCCATTCTAACACTTATTTAGCACACCGGATGCTGTATCTAAAACTGACGTTTAACCAAAGTTTTAGTTTTACTATGCTTTAACAATTTTTCAGGAATCAAAGATGACTTATATTGAATAGTTTTCTTTTCTCTGACTTCGATATTTAGTTCGATATTTTCAAATAAAAAGAATAAACTCAGAGAATTGATACGGGCTTTTTTCCATTGTTCTTGCTATCGATAACAGAGAAGTTTTTCTTTTCTCAGTTTACAAAATAATATCAAGCTCTGGGCTCTTTAATATTTATCGTATTTTTTTAATCTATTCACACAACGAAAGGTCTTTATCTGCTAGGTTTTTGACTTTTTTAGAAGTTGGTGGATCTAGAATTTTTGCTTTTATATAATCTCTGTCAAAGAAACAACCAATCTCTTATAAAAAAAATTCTCTTTAGTAATTGAACAAGTACGGGACGGGAAAAGAGTAAGAGGAATAACTTGACCTCTTGGAATGATTGTGATTTTTTAGATTTTTTTTTTCTCTACACAAGATAGGATATAATTATTTGACTTATGTTACACTAGAAACTTAACAAAACATGTTTGATGGTTATCAACTTTAGTAGTTTAGTAAACTGTTAAATATAAACAATATACAGAAATTTTGTAAAGATTACTATGATGGAAGTTTGTTGAATATTTATTATGTTTTATATTTTTAGTTACGAACGCCAGGTAGATACTGAATATTTAACTTTCCAATTTATTTAAATTAGGGATACATGAGAGGCATAGTTATAAACACCGTACATATTATTAAAATAACGAAATAATAATTCAAACTTAATAAGTTTATTAACTCATACAACATAGTTTGTCTGTCAGGCTAAAGATGCCATTGTAGATGTATTTGTAGGTACCATCATAACTAACAGAAGCTTCTTTCTTAATTAGAATGGAATCACTAGAAAACATTTGCAGGGAAATCCCGTCCCCAACAATTCCTAGAAACCCCAAAATCCCCTGAGTCCCTTTGTGAGGCCATTCTTTGATTTGTCTCCTCTTTGTTTCCTTCAATAGCTATCAATCCGTCATGCATTGTACGTGTTACCATCATTTCTAAAATAAAAGGCACCAACTCTAATGTTATAGTTATAAGGTTCAGGATGGAAGGCACTAGTAACAAAGTTGGATGCTTTAAGAAATACCCACATCCCAAGTGCTTACTTCCATGACCGTTATTATATTTACCCGTAGTTGAAAGACGAGAATGCCTCATTATTGTTGATTTAATCTGTTAAAGAAGTCACTTATAATATTGATGTTAAATTTAAAGCTTCTATCGAAAAAAGTAGAACAAATAAATAATTAATTTCAAGTATAATTATTTATAATAATATCTACATTTAGAATCGGATTAAAATCTTTTTTAACAATAGCTTAACTAATATTTCCCAACTTAATTTGGGACAATTGATTTTTTTACTATAGGTATCAAACGAGCATTAGGAATGAAAATTATTTTAATAACCCAAAGCATGTTTGTCAAATTCAATACATAACACAAATGTAACATTTAGTACGTGAATATTAGTACTTAATTTAAATTAACGGACCAAATTTAACTAATAATGTTGTATTACTTATACCTACTAAATTAATAAAGCAATATTTATTTCATAACGGTTCTTGTTTTAACAATAAACATCTTTTATAGAACTTACGTGATTAGATACGATATTTAGTTCATCACTTCTTTTCATCTCTAGTCCATCGCTTAAGAATTTAATTAAAGTGTATAAATTACGTTGATAACAGTAGTACCTACATTTACTTTTGTAGGATTTGGCTAAAATCGCGAAAGTGCACTATTTAGAAGAGTTGACTTACACCTTCGGAGCAACTAAACCAAACAATATTCATATTTGAAAAAATAAATTATAACGAAGAGCGATTAAAAGGCTGCATGTATAATTCCCCTAAGCTTGAGACCCTTTACCAAGTATTAAACGGATTTTCCTAGAATCTCGCTTCTTCCTCTCCTTTTTACCAGGAATACAATAATAAAGTTATTTATATTTCACAAAAAATTCTAGCAACTAGAGTTCGTAAGGAATTCCTCGTACAACCTGTTGACAAGCCATTCTTCCGGACTAAATAACCGGTTGTATAGTCGTTAAATTGTATAATTACATGTTGACTGGATCGTTCATGGCAACAATTTGATTTTTATTAAACGACCACCTCTTCAAAGCTCGTAATTGAACGATTGACATTCGCATTTGATGTGCAAGCAGTCATTGTAACATCATTTCGCTTCCTCAAACTACGTATCCAGCATTTCTCTTCGATTACCTATTTGGATTTGTCATTCATTCTATGTGATTTAATAGAAGTGATATAAAATATGGTATGAAACTAAAGATCAAGTAAGAAGTAACTTAGCTTTAGTTTTTATCTAGTTTAGATGTTTCGTCAAATTGATTTAATCAGACAGGTATTCCGCCATTATCATTGCATTCAGCTGACCGTGTACTAACCAGGGTTCCTACGTTGCAAAATATTTATTGATTTCTAAAACCAATACCTTTTTTTATATAGATAATAATGGTTTAGAAAATATATTACTAAGGACATAAATAGGATATGTTATGTAGACAATAACTGATTAATGTATTTCTTTCTTCTGATATTACAATTGAGATTGACAACAATTAAGATTGGTTGAATTGCAACAAGAAAATTAGTTTTCAAGCATCTTTTGTTGATGGGGTCAAGGGGAACAATATAACTATATATATTCGTCCCTCTCACACTCGGTACGCTATACTGCACCCGCTGAGTAACTTGATATGGCAATAAATGAAATATATATTTGCATCTCTTTTACTCCCGTTAAAACGGAAATAAGTTTATCTCAGTTCATACTGACTTTATCCGACCTTACAGAAGTTCTTTTATCGTTATACGAATACTTTGGAAGTTCCCTTCTAACCTTGACTATTGGAATTTCACTCAGGTTGTGTTAACTCATTATATTAATAGATCTTCATTAAATATTTTTATGCTTAAATTTACTTTTTTCTAGAAAACCTAGTTTTTCTATCTTTAAACTTTTATTATTGTCGTAAAAACACTTTGGTTGTTAGGGCACGTAAATTAAGTTCAATTCCACAAGCTTTTGGATGCATTAAAAATAAAACTAAAGATTTCTTTGTTAAATCAAATAAAATGTGAGATAGGCATTTTATTCCATTTTACGAGAACGAATTTATACTCAATAAAATAATATGATATAGATTAACCCCAGAAAACATATTTATACGAGATTTAAATTTGATATGTTCTTAGCAACATTAGCAGAACTCATAAAATTACAAGAAACTAGGTAGGCAGGTTGAAATTGCAAGAATTTACCATAAACTTTGAAAATTCAGCGAAACCTTATATTTCTAAGTTTATAAAAACCGTTGCCTTTGAAGAATGGCGGAATCCTTATAATGCAGGTTGTATACAAAACTTGTTTGACCAGAATTGAGAAAAAAGTGGCGGGCAAGTTCGCCTACAATAGCATTCCGCGCTCGGGCCCGCCTGCGACCCGCCCCCCGGTTTGCCCCGCACCCCGCAGCACGCTGACGCCAGTCCGCTAGCGAACGCGACCGCGTGCGTTGTGTCATCAACGCTTCAACATGTTTACTTTAAAAGGACATCATAAACAAAACAGAAATAGTGGTGCACTTCATAGCATACCATAAAATGTAATTTACGTATATATCAACTTGTCTTTATTAGTTTCGAAGCCAGTTTTTTTTCGTTTATCCAAATTACATCTATACAACGGAGAGATGCATTAAATAATAGTGAAATCGGTAATCTGTGTTGTGAAAAGTTGTGTGGTGTGCAAATTCGGTTGTCCTGATCCGGTTGTTATCGATTTTTTGACGTCACTAACCCCGAACAGCTGTTTTGGACGGGGATTGAAAAAGACAGACCATTGTTCCGTCTGCATCTCTTTCAACAAAGCTATCTTGGGAAAATGCTAGAATATAATTGTGAACAAATAGCAACAGCGAAGATTGTGCGACTATGGTTGCTATAATTAATGCAGACCTTAGAGCAATTTATTTAATGCACTAATACATAAGGATCCTAGATTCGAAAAATGAGTATTTTTTTGTTGTGAAGTGAAAAACGATCTCGAAACAACACAAAAGTGTATAACATTAAAGGAAATATTGAACACTCGTTTAAAACTAACAAAGGTGATATAAAAGTGATTTCAATACGTAGGCAGTGCGCCCAATTAACAGTGTAAAATTGTATTTTTCGATTTGGATTTCTAACAAGGATCTAGACTGGGTGGAGATAAAAAGGTAACATTCAACATTTTCCTTAAATTCGTGTGATATTTGTAGGATTTTAGGTTAGAAATGTGCTAGCGGTTTGTAAGCGCATCATTCCGAGTTGCTTGTAGGCCTATCGTGCACCGACCGCCGAGCACTGTGCGTTTAGTTGAACTGGATGTGAACTCAAAAAACGAAATAAGTACATAATATGATAACACTACTTACCTATTATTTAAAATTCTAAGTATTTCTATATTAGGAATAACAAAATAGAATATTTATTAATTGTCCAAATTTTAAATTTCTAAAATCAAAACTGCTTAGGTACTACTACCCTCTTATATAAATAGTAGCTACTACCTTTAGCCGTCTGTGTGCTTTAGAGTAGTCCTGGTTGTTTATCTTCATTTTGGAATATCGGAATTAATGATACTCGGTATACCTAGATACCTACTCGATTTAAAAATGAATGATTATTCTCTATTTAAACATTCACTTGCCTTAACGTCTTCTATAGTAAGTAGGTAGGTATAACCAGTGTATCAGTGCACATCTACCTCCCTATATTTCTTTAATTCTTTACATTAGCTTACGCTCCCTAATAGGTACCTATGATTTTATTTTCAGATCAAAAAACTTTGTAGTACTTTCACAGACAATAATTACTTAAGGAGAATATGGAATGTACATATAAAAAAAAAAATCATAACACCTAATATTAACTAGTCAACTGTATTAGATGAACTTGTTAGTGATTATCGTAATAACCTACCTACTTACACAAAAGTGCACTGTGTCTGTTTTGATGTCACAAAATTACAATAAAAAAAAACTTGATAATAACAAATTATAAACATACACTAACTTATTTTTATCGGATAGCGCTAAAATTCGCTAGTTTTTACTTTATTCGATAGATTTTGTAATGGCAAATTCTTACCAAGTTCCCTACGCCCGCCATAACCATCACCAAAAACCGGAATTTGAGAAATAGAAAATAAACAGGGAGAATAACACGACACCACACTGATATCTTCAATAAAAATATCAAATATAAGTATTTTAAAACATACAAGAAAGATATAGGGTAGATATGCCTGTTTTAGTCCAGTTAGTAGAGTTACCAACTTTGAGCATAAAAATATGAATGTTCCGCCAAGTAATTTGTACCTAAAAATAGTGGTGACTAAAATGTATAATAATAATAGTTCTTTTTTATATTTAAAATGCTAACGTGAAAAATGTCGATTTGACCATTTCGTCCAAAAAATCTTGTTTTCGTTCACCTGCTGCCCAGTTTTCTATCCCTTTTAAGCTTGTTAAACGATGGTTTTATTTTAATATGAAACACGTCTTTCATCATTTCAACATCAAATGAATGTTATGCAAAATTTGAAATAAATCCAACCAAGGAATCACTGTCCCGTTTTTGCCCCCGTTTTTCACCCTCCTAGAAAATTCAATTAATTTCGAGAAATTATTTCTTAATCCGTGCTTATTTTTATAAGATTCTCTAAAAAGAAACTATAGAAAAATGAGTTAACTATCAAAAATAAAATAAATTTCTAGTGTATCACTGTTTTCACAAATAATTGCGCATTAAATAATCATTTGTTAATATTTAGTCAGTTAATTAAGCTCAGCTTAATTAACTGATCAGGTCTAATAAAATTAAATATAATCACATAAATCTATCACTTTTTTAACTTAATTATTTCAGCAGTGGTCTTCATTGTTTTACACGATGTCGATATTAATATTTGCCTATTAAATGGAAATATTTCGAATCGATTTTTGTGGTCATTCCTCTTTTTATGGGCTTCAAATGCCAATAACTTACCAAACTTTGGATAATTTTAAATGACAAAAAACGGACGGAAACTGGGATTTCTAAAAGCTCAACATCCAATTTCGGACCAGCATAACTGTATATCATAATCGGTTTATATTAAACAAAAATATATATTGGACGAAAACTGACCATTAATAATAGTCACTGGAACTCGCATTATGAAATTAGATTTAAAAAGTTCAAAGAAGTCTTAGTTGGACGTTGCACTGAATGATCTGAAAAAGGTCGTCCCTTTATTCGACCACCCTTTTATAGTTTGGTAACGAAATTTACGTTAAAATCGACTTCATAATAGATTGTCATTTGTCCTCATAATAGAGATCATAAAACTAGCTTCAAAAACAATAAATAAACCAAAATGACCTAAGAATAATTCGAAACTCACTTTCAAAGTATTGGCACCTTACTATGTTTTTTGCTAATCTAAGACGCGTGTGATGCTGTCCGCTGCAACCTTCAGATTTATTATTTAGTTTTGGCTTAAAACTTCCTTTAATCGTATTAATGTGTGTATATGAGGGTAATCAGTATATACAGGTCGCCATGTGTTTATGTTTTGGACATTTGAGTATACCGACATTACTGTTTTTTATCTTTTTACAAAGGAGGACCGTTAAATGGGATGTGGATAGAAAACTGGCGCATCGACCCTATATAATATTAATTGTAACAATCAATCTTTACTATGCCTTGGTGCCTACTTTTTCTTACGACCTTCATTTCGTTGTGTTTTCAAGAGTTTTTACCGGCCCTGGCTTCTATGGCCTTCAGCCGTTATTTCATTCAATAGTCCAGTCACAGACTAATTTACACAAGCAAATGGAAATAAGTTACTTATTAAAACTGTCTTGGGCATCGATGTTTCTGGTACATACATGGTAATATTTATTCGTATTATTAAAGTTGGTAGAACATTACAACTTTCAAAAGACATATTATGTTTAATATATACCCAACAAACTTAATATCCGACGAACCTAAAATAAGACACCTGATACTATTTTATTTACCATTGTAGTATAATGTCATATCAATCTATACCACCAGGGAACATGTTGCATGAATGTAATAAGTTTACCTTCGATTACGATGCCGATTTGCGGGAGTTGAATGTTATTAAAAAAATGCGAAACTCGAACATATAATTATAACATTAATGATAAAGTGAAATAGCATAGAAAAAATCATTTTCTGCTCAGGCTTTCTCTTTCCATCATTATGTAATTATCTTTTGGAATTTTGTGTATGTAATATGACCCTTCTTTGATCAAATAGAAGAAATCAATCATCTGACGCAATTAGTGACCGCTTTCCCCTGATTCCACGATTTCAATTCACAAACCCACCAACGTCTCTTTGTACAAAAATCCGCTGTTTTCCAATTTGTCTGCTTTAGCTAGCATTGTTCCCAGTTTTACTTGTGGTCGGCTCACTTTGTCTTTCTTTTCCATAGATCTACTTCAATCTACATCATAAAGTTCACTCCTTTGGTCATATCATATTTTCTCTCCACTTCACTCATTACTCTATCTCTTACATGCCCGTTCTTTAGTAGGTAGATATTTTTCATTTGATTCAGTTAAGTAACTTGTTTACCATTCTCATCTAGACGGCATTAGAGGTGTCGGACCAACTCTTCAAAGTCATTTAAAATATCATAGAATGTATGAAATATCATAACCTACTTTATCCTGTTGTAACTTTTGAGCTCTAATATCGTAGAGTAAAACAGAACGTAACGAAGTTCACGAAATATCGAGTGTTTATGGTACGTCCGCTGAATGCATCAGCTGGGTTTTTCACCATTAGTAAAAGCCGTTAAGATGGACTTTAACAGACTAGCAACCCATTTTTGAAACAATGTCTGACACGAATACAAGACCACAGAATACACAGACAGTGCGATATTTTAACTCAAACATTTGCTAATCCTGGCTACTGATGCTCAAAATACAGAAAAAGGAAAAGGCAATATTACCCCTTGGCTCTTGATTTGTCCTTAAGACACACACAAATGTAATTTCAATTGCTCCGCAGATCAGTTACGAAGGCATATTGGATGGGAATATAGCAAGCATATCCCACAAAACGGTTCAATCACTACTAAGTTAAAGTTTTAGTGCAGTTTTCGAGATATCATTCTAAATTAAATGGCTTTTCTGTTAAGCGATTTCATGGTTTCCTCTTCATCTTGCATTCAATTAACAATTTCCGAAATCAGACTATTGATGAAATATATTTAATGATAATAGAGAATATTTACTAAGCTTGGTTTAGCCACAAGTAGCTTCATCATTATTGTGTTGTAAATATATTGCATACGTAGGTTTTGATAGTTTAGAGTTAACCAATTCACATGATTTCTTCCTCTTTTTGGTTTAGGATCATATACTTTAAATTAACACGGCTCCGATGCTTTCAAATTAAACACCTTAAAAACAATGCTGTCATTCTTGTTTCTGCCACATTCCTTCACCAAATGTTGTAGATACTCAATTTTATTCGATAATAAACGTTTTTCCGAGAATGTTGTATATCCTCAGTTTTATTGGATACCAGACCTTTGTAAGGGGTCGCATTTTTTCATTAAAGAAAGGAGAATTTGATGTTTTAGTTGTAAAACTTTCGTCTTTTAAATGTCTGCCAATTTCTTTGTTAGCTTTATATGTCTAGTTTAGAGCTTGTTTTACTTATTTATATAGTTATGCTTCTTGTAAAAACGTTCAGTTGCATTGGCTTACAAGGATATCTACTAGTCAATGGCTCTAAAGGAACTGGTTGTAATGTAGCCAATCTTTATTCAACGGTTGCAGTCATAACGCGCTCGGCTACCTGTCCAACGAATTATTCATAATTTTATTTAACACCGCTTACAAAATAGATTGACGTCATATTTGCTTAAATTACAATATCGTTTGTTCATTCATTGACGAATATACGCGTTAAGCAGTTTTCAATTTAGCAGCTGTGTGAATAAAGTTATTATTCGATCGTCAATACGTTTTTCATTTGATGAATAAATTATTTTATTGATAATAAATAGAAATTGATGGGATAATTTGATTATTTATAAAATTCTGAATGTGTCGCTTTGTTTTTGTTCAGAATTCAGTGGGTATTATCGTTATCTTTAAGTAGTTTATAACAGAGTTGCTTATCTGGTATTGTTTTTGAT